TCCCAGCCCTGAGCCCTTTTCAGAGGCCGTGGGAGCAGCTGTGCCGTTGCAGAGCAGGTGCCGATGCATTCCACAGAGCACCCTAGCACCCGTGGCAGGGCCACGCCTTGCCAGGCACTTAGGGACACCCTTCTGAGCCGTGGCAGGGCCACGCCTTGCCGGGCACTTAGGGACACCCTTCTGAGCCGTGGCAGGGCCACGCCTTGCCGGGCACTTAGGGACACCCTTCTGAGCCGTGGCAGGGCCACGCCTTGCCGGGCACTTAGGGACACCCTTCTGAGCCGTGGCAGGGCCACGCCTTGCCGGGCACTTAGGGACACCCTTCTGAGCCGTGGCAGGGCCACGCCTTGCCGGGCACTTAGGGACACCCTTCTGAGCCGTGGCAGGGCCACGCCTTGCCGGGCACTTAGGGACACCCTTCTGAGCCGTGGCAGGGCCACGCCTTGCCGGGCACTTAGGGACACCCTTCTGAGCCGTGGCTGGGCCACGCCTTGCCGGGCACTTAGGGACACCCTTCTGAGCCGTGGCTGGGCCACGCCTTGCCGGGCACTTAGGGACACCCTTCTGAGCCGTGGCTGGGCCACGCCTTGCCGGGCACTTAGGGACACCCTTCTGAGCCGTGGTTGCCCCAGGAGGCAATGGTCTCACCTCTTTTCCGAGCTGTGGGTGCTCTGCTCATTAGCCGGGTGGCGTCTGCAGCTTTGCTGAGCAGCTGCACAAGCACCCAGCTGCCAGCACACACAGCCAAGGGGTCCCCCCGCTGGTGCCAATCAACAGCTCACACCACTGCACTCTACACCCCATGGTGCCACATTTTAAGTCTACCCCTCCCACCGCATCCTTGTGACAACTCCAGCTTGCCAGGTGCTCGTCCCAGAGGCCGGCTGGGGCTCTGCCCTTCTCCAGCCCCACGGCTCTCCACTTGCTATGTGGCTGCTGCTCTGGTCCACCCCAGAGGTGGCTGCACATCCACAGCCGGGTGGTGTCTTTACGCCCACACCTCAGGCCACTCAGGTCCTGAGGGGAGGATCCGGCCAAGGCCCCCGGGTCACGTTCTCTCTACCCTTCCGCGCCGCTTTTGAAAATCAGCTGGTGCCACAAACTCAAAGCTGGGCGTAAGGCCGGCCAATGACGCAGGGACCAGGGGCCGGCTGTCGGCTAACATACTGGGCCCATTGTCCCCAGCCCGCAGCTCAGAGGCTGAGGCCCAGGGAGGGGGTGGTAATGCTGGGCCCTGCCACTGTCAGAGGGGAGGGCTCCTTTTCCCCTCCCCCCACTTCAGCCCCATGGTGGAGGGAATCCAGGAGCCCCCTCCCCCATTGCTTGGTGGCAGGAGTGGGATTCTCCTTCCGCACCGCAGCCCAGCTGTGCTGAGGGGTAGGGGCGTGTCCTGCCTATAGGGGGCTGTTGGGAAGCATCTTACCCCCCACCCCTCCAGGGTTCCTCTGGGCAGCAGGGGAAGGGACAAACAAGCTTAGGAGCCAAGTGACTGTTGAAGGGGACCTGTGTATGAGGTTGACCCCCCGCCCCCGGCCACCAGGGGGCGCTGCTGACGCTGGGCACAGCACTGGCAAGCTCCCCCCACAACTCCCAGCATGCAATGCTCCATGCAGCCAGGGGGGCACTCTAGGCTGTGTTGTAAGGATGGGACAATTTGCTCAGCCAAGACAAGCCGACCCCAAGAGACTTCTGGGATACTGGTGGGGTAATCCCCTCGCCCCAGGCTGAGTGTAACTCTTAAGCTCCGCCCCCAGAGCTGCAGCTCAGGAAACTGACTCCCATGGGGTCCCCCCTGGAGCCCAGCCAAGGACACACGAGCAAGGCGGTGGGGAGGTGACAAAGGGAGCTTTTATTGGAAAGCGAGCTCCAGGTGCAATGTCTGAACAGCAGACCCTGGGTACAATGCTTCAGGAAGGTTTAGCTGCCCCTAGCCGCCCCCCACCTGTTGCAGCCACCAGGGCACAGGCTGGCTCCAGGCTCCTCGCGCTCCGGAGTCACTTACCCGCTCGGGGCAGCCAGGCCAAACGGTGCACAAGGGGCTCTGGGGAAGGAAGGAGTTTGGGCTGGAAAACCGGCCAGCCCTGCGGCCAGACTTACCTGCCAGGGAACTGGTTTAAAAAGGGGGGCTGGTTGAGAACAGACTAACTGGGGGTGAGGGGAGCAGTCCTGGGCCCCGGGGGGCTTCATTTCTTGGCGAAGGAAATCTTCATGGCGTTGCTCTGCGTGATCTTGAAGCCCTGGAGGGCGTCACGGGCAGCGCCAGCCTGCACCTCGTTATCGAGGCCAGGCACCAGCCGCACCTCCTTGAAGCCTGGGAACCTGGGGGGCAGGATCCGGCCATCAGAGGGACAGACCCCTGGATTGCTCTCGTACCCCCACCGTGCCCACAAGCCACACCTCCCCCCCCGGGGGGTAGCCCTACACAGCACGCCCAGAGGGCCCAGGCCCCGCACTCACTGATTGAAGAGCATGGAGAGCATGAGCTCGTTGGTCTCCTCCGGCAGGCTGGTGAGGAAGAGGATGTGGTTGGGCGGGTTCTCCGAGAGCTGAGGGGGAGAGAGCAGAGTGAGGCCGGGAGCCCTGCAGGGCGGCGCCAGCCAGATGCCCACAGCAGGGGCAGTGCCCAAGGCAGCCCCCTCCTCACCCCCATTACCAGGGGAAAGTGCCCCCGATCTCCATGCACCAGCGCCCTCCGGGCCTCAGCACTCCCGGCTTCTCAGCAGGGGCAACTGGCTCGGAGATCATCCCACACGAGCCTCCGAGCTCTCTTCCACTGCCCACCGCAGCCTGCGTCTTGGAGGGGAACGGCCCAAGCCCCACGCCTGGAGGAAGCTCTGGTCCGACCGGGCGGCTCCCAAGCCGTGCTCTGTTGTACTCACCTGCTGGGTCGGCGGCATCTGGCCTGGCATCATCTGCTGAGGGGCCATTCCCCCAGGAGCCATACCCCCCGGAGTCATGCCAGGTGGGGGGATCATGCCCGGAGGGGGCATATATGGCGGCTGGCCTGCCATGTGGTGCATCATGCGAGGGCCCTGGTTCATTTGTGGCATCCCCTAGGAGAAAGAGAGAGGGAGGCCTGGCTTCACAGCAAGATCCTGGGTGCAGAGCTGCCCTGGAGGCTTTGAGAGCTGGCAGCCCTGGCTCTCAGAGCTGCAGCCTTCGCAGCTGGGAACAGCCTGAGACCACACTGGCCGCACAGGGAAAGGCTCCCCCATGGCCCTAGCTTCGCCTGCCAACCAGCCACTGAGCCAGTCAGAGAAGCTGCTGGTGTTACTTACAGGGACAGCTCCTTGCACCGCAGCTGACACCGGCGCGGTCGTGCCAGGCATCTGCTTCTTGACCGGGGGCGTCTCCGGGCCTTTGGGCTTCCTCTTCTCCCGCTTGCGGTCCCGCTCCACATAGGTGCCTTTCATTTTCGATATGATGTCCGAGTCCGACTTGGCGTACTGGATCCTCTGGCGGGAGATACCATTCATCAGGAGGAGCACGGCCAACCGGCACCTCTGGCCACTCCAACAGCACCCTCCAGACTGGCTCCCTCCCCAGGAGGGGGGGCAGCACGCAGCACTAACCATGGGCTTGTCGTAGAAGGGGAACCCCTGCATAGACCTTAAGGCATTTGTGGCACTGCTGATTTCCTTGAAGATGACGAAGGCTTGGCCCCTCATCTTCAGACTCCGAGACACCAGGATATCCAGGATCTGGCCAAACTGCGAGAAGATGGCGTAGAGAGATTTCTTCAGCTCTAGGGGAGAGGCACACAGTTAGGCACACGGATCGGACAGACACCGCTCGACCGCCACGAGGAGCTGCGCACACAGCGGAGCTGGGGCAGAGCAAGCAACTCCGGTGCACACCTGCCACACCAAAGAGAGGGGGTCAGTCCTCCTCAGCCAGATGGCACCGGGGACGGCCAGGGATTAGAGCCCCTGCCTCCTCCGAAGTACGCACCGTGGGTACCAACCCCTCAGCCCACCCACACGGCCAGCCCAGGCCAGGAACGCCCGCGGGAGTTGGCTCACCATCCTTCTTGATCTTCTCGTTGAGGTTGTTGATGTAGATGGTGTGATTGGGGCGGGTTTCCGGGACAGCCATCCTAAGTGCTTCGCAACCACGGGGTCTAAGGAGAAGAGACAGTCAACGGAGACACCCGAGCCATGGCGATGCAGTTCCCCAGGCCACAGCAGCCCCATGACGGGCGGGGGGGGGGGGGGG